CTCCCCGATGGCGTTAGCGACGATCCGACTCATTTCGGCTTCGTTTTAATTAGAATTCTAATTTTTATTTCTCTCTCTTTTTGGTTTTATTTTTTTTTTTCCAGTCCTGGATGCGATGATTGACGCTCGGCTTCGGTTCGGTGCGGGTCCCGCCCGGCGGTGCGGGGTAACGGGGTCAGTTTTTCCCGACTTATTATGACAAATGCGTTTATTGCGAGATGATCTGATGGCGTCGTAAATGTTGGTTAAGGAAAAGGTGCGCGGTGCGATTAGGGCAAAAGTGTTTTCTGGACTTTTGCTGTAACAGTCTGGATCAATTCGCCTCCTTTAATCTATTGCCCCTCCGCCCTTCTTCCTCTCACCCCAACACAGAAGGATATTTAATGTGAAGGGCAAAGAGATTTCTAGGAATGATAAATCATCGCGAATCCTTTCTGAAGTATATAGGGATGTAAGTATTATATAGCCTGTATTAACGGGCTAATAATAACATTGGAAGGGGGGAGGGGGGGGTGCTAATAGCCACCTGAAATCAAGGAAAAGCGTATTTCGCATCTCTCTCTGTCTGTGATACCGTATGTGTGTGTGTACACGACTCCTGTGTGCCCGTCTGTACAAAACCTATGTACGAATTTGCTATCAGAGGTCATTTATTGATACGGGGTGATCATTAAGGCGCTAAAAACCCGACACCCGAACTGTTAGATTTTCCCTTATTCCCATCAGCGTTGTTTTTCGATGGCCCGCAGCGTGATGGAGGGACGCTTTTCCCCACGTCCAGAAACAGAGACCCTCTTCAAGAGGAGCTGGGAAGAAGCTGTCCATTTTCATTAAAAAATAAATAAATAAATAAATAGAATTAATCGAGAGGGTCGGGATGATGGGCCAGAGAAAGCCGGATCCCAATACCGGAGGTCGGATTTAATTTTAATTTTTTTACATCAATCAAGGTTATAAGAGCCCCCCTCCGCCCTCAGCCAGAGCAAAAAGCTCCCTGATTTGGAAAAGCAGAGGGAATCTCGGGCTCCAGCCAAGGTGAGCTCTGGTTTAAGCTCTTGCAAAGACCGACGCGTGTAAATGTGACCAGGTGAGTCCTCACCGCCCGACAAACCTTCCTCTCCTTTCTGTGGGGCGCATCCAAATGAACCCCGCTTCATCCCTTTGCGTTTCAAGTGGGGAAGGCAGAGAAATCCCTACAAATAGAGCAGCGTGGGGAGAAATCGCTCATCTCCCAAACCAGGGCGAACGATGGGCGAAATTCCTGCTTTCCCCAACTTTGATTTGCTCTTCCCTTTAAGTCGTTACGGAGTTTTTGAACTTAAGGGATCCCGTGTCATCAGCCATGCAATGCGAGCTGCTTGCTCGGATTGCCACAGTCCTCCGCTTTATTGCCTTCCAAGACTTTATTCTTTTTATTACATCAGCCTATTTCACAGCAGATTCGGAGGGACTCTGAAAATATTATGAGAGCTCGGAAAAGAGAAGGGCTGATTTAAGCGAGTTCTGGAGATTAAACTCTCCTGGCTCGTGGAAATGTGTTTATACAAGTGATGGATAAACAGCCGTGTTGGCATCGAGGTGTTGAATAAGTATAGATAAAATTATTGAACGTTAATTGAAGCAAAACACCTGTTCTCTGTTTGCTAGATAGATTGGCCGTGTCTTACCTGTAATAAATATATTCTTGGGGAAAAAAAAAAAAAAATCCTGGTGCGCCTCCTATAAATAATGATGAACTATGTCAGCATGTGAGTATATAATCTTCTGTAGTATATAAATTCAGCCCAAGAAGACTCTTAGGAGTGTGGCTGTGAGGCAGAAAGCAGGAGCTCTCAGATCCCTGGTGGATGGAAACTTCACATGCTGATCTGTCAAGTCCATTTGCTTTCGCTCCTCTGGAGGTTTCCGTTTGTTCAGTAGTTTATTTTTGGTGCATATTCCCATAGCTCATATCTTTGTAACTTTTGCTGAGAGGGACTCCAGGCCAGCAGCCGCTCCATCCCAGATCTGGGAGCCCCTGGTCGCGTGGTGCTGTCTGTTTCCTGTGACTTCATACTTGAAAGCCTCAAACAGAGCCCGAAAGAAATGGCATGAAAGGCTCTTCTCTTTTAGAGGGAGGAAAAAAAAAAAAAAAAGAAAAAAAAAAACAACTCCGAGGAGGAAAAGCCGGGGGGAAAGAGACCTCGGAGAGTCAATTTCGGGATGAGTTTTTGGGTTAGGAGAGCCAGGGTGTTCGAGCTGGGCTTCGCTTTGCACACCGGCTGCCTACACTTGAGGTATGGGTTTATTGCTGGTCGGTAAAATGGAACTAGAAACAGTAACCCTAACCCTAACCCCCCCTCCAAAAAAAAAAAAAAAAGTCCAGAGTGGAAACTTTTTGCTGCTCTCGGAATCAGTGCCAAGTATTATTTTGCCTGTAAGGCAAAAACTGGGAGCGTTGTCAGCTTGCAGTAGAAACCCAGAGGCTTCCGAGTTCAGATGTTGTTTATAAATAATCTTTCTTGTTTGTAGAGAGAAAACCAATTCCACACAGCGCTTTCCTTTGAAACACACAGCTGCAAAAAATTCATCCTTAACAAACAGCTTCCTCGGGTCGGTATTGCTACACAGACCAAACACAAAACGCCTTCACAAGATGCAGCTTTGTAGGTTTGCTCCGCTGCCATCTTTTGCTGATGTGGAAGTTTTGGCATCAGAAAAATAAAAGAGCAGACGATCCTATTTATTTTATTTTTCATTTTTATTTATATATATATATATAATTATTATTTTTTTTGCCTGAAAACATATTGAACCACTTGTATTATTTTTAAGGACAGTTGTTATCATTTATTAGAGTTGGCACCTTCCTTTTCCAGTCGCTTTAGCACTGAGATGAAGGAGGTGGGGGGGGGGAAGATCTGGGGGTGCTGGGCTTTGTGCTGTGCTGGGATGGGACGGGGGGGTCCTATCACGGTTTCCAGGTGGTGTGCAGTGTGCGTTACTTTGGATATATTCACTCTTGTTTTCACGTTGGGTTTTGAAGGAGATAAGGATATGCGAGAGGGGATAACAGCTGAGAGCGAACCTCGCGGCTATGGGGAGTCTGGAGACCAGATTCAGAGATCACTCAGCCTTCAAACGGCTGAGCGTGAATTTCGGATATGGAAAGTATGCCGAAATAGCAATTATTCATAATAATAATTATAGAAATGTTTTTAAAACCAAGAAACAGTAATAAAATCCCGGCTTAAAGCGCTCAGAATTCACCAACAACGCATTTACGCGGATCTAAGAGAGAAAACTTCAGTCCCAAACCCTTCCAAAGTCACGAGAGCGGAACAAAAATCCCTCTTGTGGAGTTAAACTTCTTTTCTTTTTCTTTTTTCTTTTTAATAATAATAATAAAAAAAGTGAAATAAGCTTCTGTAGCCTGAAAGAAGAAGGATCTACCTTTGCCATTTCCTGTGTTAGCCCTCAGTTTGAATGCGGCCGTCTGTTAAAAATCCGTAAGTGGTGAGAAGAAGGGGGGGGGGGGGGGGGGGGGGGGGGGGGGGGAGGCGGAATTCCTTGTCTGAAGAGAAGCAAAAACAAGTTACACATGTGGGCAATTTTCCAAGAACCCGAAGTATACTCCGGTTAAAAAACACAATTCCAAATGAGGTTTGTAATCTCAGCAGTTAATAAAGCATTTCGATCCCCTGTAAAGTAAAAGCGTATGGGCTTTGTAAAAGGGGAAGCCGGAGGAGAGAAAGTTAAAATAAAGTTGGATTGTTGTTCAGGAGCCCACATTTTAGCTACCAGACTGATTCTTCCCTCCATCTCCTCTTCTCCC